GCTGCTGTGCTTGCGAAACCTGCTGTTGGTGGTCAGGATTCTGCTGGTGGGAAAGCAATGTTGGAAGAAGCTAAGGGAGATAAACAATGTGATGCATCACTTGGTGAAGAAGCAAAGAAGAAACTCTGTCAAACACCAGCCGCGGCGGCGTCATCTTCAGTAGTTCAAAAAGCACAGGAAGAACAAACTGGCAGCCTTAACGATCTGCAAACCAACCCACAACAACTAGGAGGTGTTCATGGTAGTTCTGTTGTTTCCACGGCAGGACAGGGCACACTACAACCTGGACAAAGTGAGGGAAGCGAACAAAACCCTCTCAGTGGATCACAAACAGGTACATCTGGTAGACCACAAGTCCCCAGTAACAGCGATCAAGAAACACCAGCTGCAAATGCACAGAGCAATAACACACAATCTGAACAAGCTCAAAACACAGAACCTTCTTCTCATTCTGTAACCCCGCCCAGCAGTTCATAAAGAGAGAATGCCAGTGAAACCGGTGTAGGTGCGAATGGAAATACTGACGCAAATGAGCAGAGTGAGTCACCAAACAACCAAGAAGGAAGTACTGGAAATGCAGAAGCCACCACAACAACAACAACAACAACACTTCCTCCTGAACTCACAAACAACAAGAAGGGTGATGCAGACAGCAGCAGCAGTATCCGCAGTTCTGTGTGGGTTCGTGTACCACTACTGATTGTGGTTACACTGGCCTGTATTCTTGTATGCTGATTGAGTGATGCTGGTGTGGTGTGACTCAGGTCATCCTTTGTTTTCTTTTCTTATTTTGCATACATCTCTACAGTCTAACTAATCTTTTACCTGTTGGGATTTCTCTTCTTTTTTTTTTGTTTCTTAATGTTATTGTGTTTTGTGTGTGTTTACTCTCTCTATGTTTATCCTATAATAATTATTATTGCTACTCCATTGTGTGTGTGTGTATGTGTTCTTGGAGACTCTGTGTCTGTGTGCCTGGGCTTGCACTATGATGATGATGAACTGTTTTTTGCACTGGGAAAAGAAATAATAATAACAGATGAATTTATATTTATAATTGCGTATGTACACATATAGACTTACACCCATAGGAGGTGTATTTCTTTCTTGTGTTTACTTGGTAAATTGGGCTAATGTTTAATATCTGTTTCTTTGCTTGATGATTTTGCTGGGTGGTTCAGCCTTTATTGAAATCTTCGTGAGTGTGGNTGTGCTTACTGCCTTTCATCCTGTACTGCGTATGTGTATGCGTGATGGCTAATCTAGACAAAGGTTCTACTAGTATTCCTGGTGCCCTTGGATTTGGTGGAGTGCCTGGTGGTCTTTATCCTAATCCCTCACATCCCCAACCTGGTGTTGTGGGTGCTTGGCCTGGTGTTGGTATGCCTCATAATAATGTAGGACTCCAACCCGCTATTCCTGGTTATAATGGTGGGCCTGGAATTCCTCCCGTTGTTAAAATGCCTCCTGTTCAGTCTCCTCCTGTTGTTGGTGTTCCTCTTGGTCCACAGCATGCGTCTCACTCTGCCTCTGCTGGTCCTCAGGGTCTTTGCGGTACTCCTGGTGTGCCTGGTTCTTGTCCTGTTGTTGGTGTTCCTGGTAGTCATGCTCACCCTCATACTCATCCTTCTCTATTACCTCCTCCACCTAATCATGGTGCTGCTGGTAGACCTGCTGCCCCTGATCCTCATGGTCTTGCTGGTTCTCATGGTTCTCATGGTATGACTCTTTCCACTCACCTTGATGGTGGTGCTGTTAGTCTGCCAGGAGTTGGTGTTGGTCCTGCATCCAATAAGGGTGAGAAACGTCCTGTCATAGCGAAGAGTAATCCCAATCAAGTTAATGAGAGTGAGAAGGATAAAAAAGAAAAGGGCCCGAAAGGAGAATTGAATGACGGATTACAAGGTCATAACCATGGGAATAAAAATCAAGAGGAAACTGTCCTATCTCCTCCTCCTCCTTTACAAGAACTCAGTATCAATCAGCCCAGTGAGTTGACAGAGCAAGCAGAAAGTACTCAGAAGCAGCTAGTACCCAGTGAGTCAGGTGAGAGGAGAACTGATGGGAACCAAGAACAGATAAAGGAAACCACACACGGTCCTCAACAAGATAATCACAATAAAGAACCAAATGCCACAGGTACAACAAGTACAGACTCCCATGTTACTGCTGACTCAAACCCACATCCTACTACAGATGCATCACCTAGTGAAACAACTCAGTCTGGTTTATCTACTGATGATTCAAAGACATTAAATAACACGAGCACAGAGCCCAACAGTACCACTGATAATGTGACAACTACAGAGAATGAATCAACAACTGGTGTCAATAATGTGGGTGCATCAGCAGAAGGGAATACCACCGCGTACACGGACTCTGTCACTCGCAATACCACCAGTAACGAGGACTCAACCTTACCTACCAACACCAATACAATTCCTCCTCTCCCTGAAATCAGCAATAACACCACAATGCCAAATTTGAGGGGTGATGCAGACAGCAGCAGCAGTATCAGCAGTTCTGTGTGGGTGCGTGTACCACTACTGATTGTGGTTACACTGGCCTGTATTCTTGTGTGCTGATTGACTGGTGGTGTGACTCAGGTCATCCTTTCTTTTCTTTTCCTTTTTTTTTGCATGCATCCCTACAGTCTAACTAATCTTTCACCTGTTGGGATAATCTTCTTTTTTTTGTTTCTTAATGTTAATGTGTTTTGTGTGTTTTTGCTCTCTGTGTGTTTATCCTATAATAATTATTATTGCTACTCCATTGTGTGTGTGTGTGTTCTTGGAGACTCTCTGTGTGTGTGTGCACCTGGGCTTGCACTGTGATAAATATGAACTGTTCTTTTTGCAGTGGTAAGAAGCAAATAATAATAACAGATGAATTTATATTTATAGTTGCATTTATTCACATATACATATAGACGTACACCCATAGTTGGTGTATTTCTGTGTTTATTGGGTAAATTGGGCTAATTGGTGAAATATCTGTTTCTTTGGTTGCTTTTGTTTGCCTTGTACTGATTTGCTTTCTGAAGAAAAAAGAGTAACTGATACATATTTATTGTCAATTGCTTATGTACAAATGCACATCACGGTCTGAATGCTGTTTATGTTCAGTTGGTGGGTGTGTTGGTCTCTGCTCTTAATTTCTTTATCATGTTTTGTTTTTGGTTTTGCTTGGGCTTTTCTGTGCGAGGTGTCTCTTTATTCTTTTTTTTTTATGTTGGTGTTCTTCTTTTGTGTGACTGATGTTTGTTTCATTCTTTCCCGTGTTTGTGTATTGTTGTATTTTATTCTACTTTTGTTATATTTTATTTTTTGATCTTCAACAGTTTATATACCTAAGAAAACAAGAGAGGATTAAAGTTTTCCGTGATGATGCTGCGACGCGTGTTGTGTTGTTTTGCTCTCTTGCTGAACGTTGCCTCACTCTGCGTGTCCGGTAGCGGGGCTGCTGGAACTGCTGCAATTGGTCCTGGTACTCCTTGTATTTCTGATTCTTCTGACGCTGATTGTTCTTCTCCTGGTCCTGCAGCTGTTGTTCATCCTCCTGCACCTGGTGTTGTCCTCCGCCCTAGTGGTTCTTGCCCTAATGGCACCCAACCTTGTACTGCTCCTGCTGCTGCCGCTGCTGCTGGTTCATGTCCTGATACTGGATCTACTGGTGCTGATACTGGTGATACGTGTACTTCTCCTGCTCAAGGTCCATCTGGTGGTAGTAATGGTGGTGGGGATCGATCTACAGCAAGAGAACATGAGTTAACAGGAAAAGAAGGTCATCCTTCTTCT